GAAAGAAAGCAACTCTGGGCGCAGCAGCTGGTGCGAGGCGCAAGGCGTGGGCCCTGCTGCTGGCGGGGTTCATCCCGAGCCCCGCGGTTGTGTCAGCAAACAACCTACGGAGAAAACTACGTGAGAGGGCGTGCGAAGGGAGGGGAAGGTGCCTGACTTGGTGCTGGTTATCGGCATAGATAACCCTGCGCTCCTTGGTCGCAGCCCTGGGGAAGACACTGAGCGATGATCGATCTCTCCCAGGGCACCGAGCCGCCCCTTCCCGGTGGCCATGGCCATGGCCGGGCCGTTGGCAGCCAGCTGAGCCATCGGCAAGTTCCGTGATCTTTGCACTGACGCAGCTTTGCCATGGACCTGAAAAAAACAAATGTGCCTTTGCTGGGAAAGAGAGGGTTGGTGAAAAGCTGCTGCTGGAGCTTCGTTTGGTTTCAGAACAGGGAGCTTAAAATCAAGAAATGCTGCCCAAAGCTCTGGTGCTGTGTGTGAAATCAGCTGTATCGTCCGTGCCTGAAGCATTTCCCCACTGTTCAGTCTCTTGAGGCTCCCGGTGTCCCAGCCAGGCTTCCAGGGACCTTCCAATTCTGTGCTGTTTGCTGAGATAGGAATTATTTTCCTTAACTTGAGGCTGTCTTTTGTTGTGTACTTTTAGGGTAAAATATCTCCTTCATGTTGGTGCGGTTTTGGAGCCCACACAAGTTGAGTCTCTTTTAACTAAGCAACCTGCTAAGATGTCAGGAAACAACTAAACCCCTCGCTGATTTCACCCAGGTCTGGCTCTAAGGCTTAACACCGCTTTGCTTTCTTCACTGCAGATTTTCATAAACAATGAATGGCACGATGCGGTCAGCAAGAAAACCTTCCCTTCTATCAACCCAGCAACAGGAGAAGTTATCTGCCAGGTTGCTGAGGGAGATAAGGTGAGCGTTTGCTTCATGAGATTGGTTTGTTTGCAGGGGCTGAGGAGGAGGGCACTAACTCATCTCTCACCTAGACAGCTCTGCTGGGTGCTGTGTTTGCAGTAAGTGTCTGACCTGCACAAATACCACATTGAGTGCTGCTTGTCTTCTTCTCTGACTGCTGCTTTTCAATAAAAATCCTCTGGCTTTGCCTCTTACCGGTGGCAAGCTGGGACTGGAAAGGGTGGAGAGGAATAGATGTGGTGTGCAGTGGTTGGGAGGCTGGCAAGGTCGTGGCTGGAGGTTGCTGGGGCAGGCAGGGATGAGGGCAGACACCTTTGTGGTCCCTTGGGTGCTCTGCTGGTAGCATCACCCAGAGGCACAGTGGCAGAGGAGACAAAAGGTCAGGATTTGGCTGAGCAGCCCCTTTCTGCTGTACACATGCAGTGGGGACCATGCCCAGCCCTGGGCATTAAAAAGAAACAGAAAGAGAGAGAGAGGTGGTGGGGAGTAGTCACGTAACAGCCCATGTGTTACGCAAGGCCCTCCTAGGAGTCCCTGGCAGAGCTGAGGTGGTGCTTCCCAGCAATTTTGGGTTCTTCTTACAGTCTGGAAACTTGTCTGTATTCCCCAAGGGAGGGGTGAGTAAGGGAAACCCTTTGTTGTCTGCTTGTCCACTGTGGACTGGCTTGTCCTGCCAAGACCACGGCAGCAAACCAGAACAGCAAACCAACTCGAAACCAGTTAATGCCCTGACAGGACCAAAGGATGGATTAGAGATATTTGATCAAGAATAAAACTCCTTTAGACTGTGCTGGTGAAATCA